TCCCTAAAAGCCTCTGCTAGCTTAAGTGAGTAATGGGGAGAAGCCCTCCAGGTGCATTATGGGAGTCGTGATGGTGGAGAATCATATTGATATTTCTACTCTCATAGAATTACTATGGGGTAGTTTTTGTCCAAATTCTGAGGAAAAGGGGACTTTCCTTTCCCAATCTCCACAAGCATCTTATGATGGCCTGGGGCTCAGAAGAGATGGGAGCCCCAGCACACTTCCCCTTCGTGTGGGACAGGGGTAGCGGCGGGGTGTCTCTGAGGCAATGCTCCCCACGCTGTCCCTGCAGTCCGCGGCCCCTGTACTGCTGGGGCGCTTCGTGGTGCTGAAGCTCTGAGCCTGGCGCCGCTGAGGGCTTGCCTGGAAGCAGTGATGGGGGAGGGAAGGGTAACAGGGTGAGGAGTCTCCAAGGGACGTGACCTCTCCGCCATTCCAGCCTTCATCTTCCACCCTCCTAGCCCGCGGCGCCACAGGAAGTATCTTGCATTGGCCTCCAAGCCCGGCGGGGAAGAAGGACGCCAGACGGCGAGCTTTGCCCCCTTCCCCCACGTGCGCCCCGCCCCCACCCTCCCCCTGCCCGTGAGTCAGCGCTGTCTCTGTCCGCACAGACGTGAGTCAGCACCAGGCCTGGCCGTGGGGAGGGGGACGTGAGACGACCCTTCCCTCTTCACCTTCTTCGGCCCCCTCCCCCAGCTGTCCCTCTCTTATCGGAGATCAGATTACAGCCATCGGCCTCTCTGGGCTTGAAGAGAAACCCTGGCCCCTCCCTCGGCCTGATACTGTACGGAAAGCTGGGACCCCGGAGCTCGCGACCCCGGCAGATCAGGGTTCCCCCTCCTTCCCTCCCCTCCTCCATCCCTCAGCTCCTGTCGCCACTTTTTGGCGCCTCAGAGAGACTTGCTTCTCCTGTGGTCCTGTATCCCGTCTCTAGGTCCCTCTGTCCATATGCACCCCCATTCCTTCTCCCCAAACCGCAATCTTCTCCTGAGCCCGCTTCTCTTAGGTCCCGCCCCCGGACTCCCAGCCCCACCTCCAGGCCTACGCCCCTTTCCTCGCAGACGCCCTCTCATCTTCCTCATCTCACAGTGCCTCCCCCTACCCCACTCCACACACGCATTCTACCTGAGCTCGCGACCTGCGTGACACTTCCCCCCACGCCCCCCACCGAGTTTTGCTCCCGGCACCATCCTCCCCCAATCCCCCCATTTCCTCCTGACCGTGGGCGCTAATGGCGTTGCAGCCTCCCGGACGGCTGCCCAGCAGCATCAGGCAGAGGAGCACCCGGAGACCCCCAGACCCGCCGGGACCCCCAGGCCGCCGCGGGCGCCGCATCCTTCCGGGTTCCGCGCTCCCGCTCGGCTGCCAGAGCCGCAGCGACTCGGGCCGGAGCCTGCCAGAGGGGGCGAGGCGGGGCCTGCCACTCCCCACCCACCGAGGCGGGGTCTACACGCCCCTCTCGCGGCAACTCCGCCAACCCCAGACGGATGGTGACGACATTTCCACCCCCGGCTCTTGCGTTGATTTGCGTCATTCGTGGCGTAAAAGCACTGACTTACTGGGGGTCCTACCCACCCCGTCCCTCCTACCCCAAATAGTAGGCGCCTCTCTAGAATTCGCACTTGGCCTCACCTTGACATATGCTTCTCCCCAAGGACCACCACCTCTATCACCCAGTCGCAGGGTTGGCGAGAAGGGTTCCAGTTGTGTGGGGGCCAAGAAAGATACGTGAGCCTGGTCGTATAAGAAGGTCTTCTTAAGAAGAGGAGCATACAGGTGAATACAATATGTACTCTTTCGCATCTCAATGAATGGTACAGATGTTATCCTTAAGAGCAGGAAT